TACTACTACTACTACTACGACTACTACTACTACTTAGACTACTACTACTACTACGACTACTACTACTACTACTATAACCACTACTACTACTGCTGCTACTACTACGACTACTACTACTACTACTACTACTACTACTACTACTACTACTACTACTACTACTACTACTACTACTACTACTACTACTACTACTACTACTACTACTACTACTACTACTACTACTACTACTACTACTACTACTACTACTACTAATACTACTTCTACTACTACTACTACTACTACTACTACTACTACTACTACTACTACTACTACTACTACTATTAACGAACACGACTACGGACTACGACTACGACTACTACTACTATCTATAATACTACTACTCACTACTACTACTGTACTCTACTACTTGCTAGTAGTATATACTTCTACTACTACTTACGTACTTCCACTTCTACTACTGCTACTACTACTACTACTACTACTACTAACTACTACTACTACTATTACTACTACTACTACTACTACTACTACTACTACTACTACTACTACTACTACTACTACTACTACTACTACTACTACCACTACTACTACTACTACTACTACTACTACTACTACTACTCTACTCGTATTAGTAGTAATATGATATCTATATGATACCAGAGAAGAAACCCAATACATTTCTTGTTAGGGCTGTAGGGCTATAGGGCTATATGGGCTATAGGGCTATTGGGCTATATGGTAATAGAGCTACAGGGCTATAGGGCTACAGGGTATAGGGCTATAGGGCTATAGGGTTATAGTGCTATAGGGCTATAGGGCTATAAGCCGATAGGGATATAGGGCTATGAGGCTATAGGGCTACAGGGCACCGGGCACCCGGGCACCCGGCACCCGGCACCCGAGCACCCACCCGGGCACCGGGCACCCGTCACCTGGGCACCCGGGCACCCGGCACCCGGCACCCGGCACCCGGGCACCCACCCGGGCACCGGGCACCCGTCACCCGGGCACCCGGGCACCCAGGCATCCGGGCACCCGGGCCCCGCCACCGAATCGGCGGCGAACCCGGGCACCCGGGCACCCGGGCACCCAGGCACCCGGGCCCGGCCACCGAATCGGCGGCAAACCCGGGCACCCGGGCAACCGGGCACCCGGGCACCCGGGCCCGGCCACCGAATCGGCGGCGCACCTCACCTACCCTTAATCCGCTAAGACCCCTACAGAGGCAAGCTCTGATTGGGGAATGTTCGTTGTGGTCCGTTTCATCAGCATAGTTGTTGATATAACTGTTCTAGTGTTCTTCTTATGCTTATTACTTCCCGTCTTCCAAATACAGCTCCAAATGCTGATATGTGTTACCATAAGTCGTGGTTTTAGTACTACTATGATTAATATCAATATGATTGTTGTTATTACGCGAGCCTCCGCCGAAGCACGCGACGACCCGGCGGGCGGCGCCCTGGGTGCCATGAAGAACACGGGCCCTGGCGGAAACGGGTCCTGGTCCCCGTGGCCATCCCCCAGGACCAGCTCTTCAGCCTGAGTCATCTTGTTGACGGCCCTGGAGTTCAGGAACGCCCAGTGCGAAAAAACTTAGGACCCCGTTCCCTCAGGACTCGTTTGCTTCATTGACTGCCTACCAGACCACCCCAATCCAACCCGAAGACTCGAATTTCGAGTGGGGGGGTACGGGTTCCATCTGTGCTTGTCAAAATTCCCCGACGCCCCCCCCCACTGGGAATGGAGGGCAAATCGAGGCCTTCGGGTTGGGTTAGGGTGGTTTGGTGGGCGGTGGTGATTCATTGAGGGGCAACGTTAGGGGGGGAACTGGTTCGCATCGGCGACACATTGCAGATGGATAGGCGAGTGGCCCCCGATAGCGAATGCGCACGCTCCTGGGCGGGGCGGGCTATCGGGCCTCTATCGGCGATGTGGGTGGCGATGCATCTCCCCCTGAGAATATCCCTTCCCCAATGGTTTCTGGGCCATACGTCGGCCCTCCGACAGCCGTTCGGGACGATCCCGGCACTCCCGCAACGCCCTCGGCGAGGCGCAGCCGCTGGGGAGCACCCTGGGGCAGGGCAACCACCGAGAACTACCGACAACGCCCGAAAACCTTGAACCTCGAACCTGTCGTCCCCCCTGATGGAAACCTCCCAAGCGGGATCCGAGGGACGGAGGATGCATCCCCGATGCATCACTGACACTGGCGACGTCGGCGTTGCATCGGCACCGTCGGCCACGAGAAAATCTGGCTACACATCGAAACGCATCGCCGATGCATCGGCGATACGGCGCGACCCTCCGACCACATGTGCTAGGACCCCATGCAGGAGGCCTGGAGTGGTTTTCCGGGCATCACTCGGGCGCCTCAGGCGGCCGTTCGGGACGATTCTGGCCCCCCCCCGGAACGCTCTCGACGAGGCGCGGCTGCTGGAGAGCAATCCGAGGCGGGAAAGCCTTCACAAAGGCCTGGATATCCCTCACATGGGAGGCCATCCCTCACATGGGAGGCCTAGCTATCCCCCCCTGACGTTGCCCCTGGCAGGACCCGCTCGCTTCACGCCGGCCTGGGCAAGCTGCAGCCCGCCTGGCGAGCCCGCCAACGGCGCGCGCGGCCCGCTCAACGCCCGCGCGACGCAGGCGGGGAGCGCGTCGAGCTCGCGCGCGCGGACCGCGCGCCGGTTCTGCTGCAGGAACTCCTCGGGAAGGCGCAAACCCTGCGTCGTGAGTATATATATACACATATATATATGTGTGTATATATACACACATATATATATATATATATATATATATATATATATAACATATATATGTATACATGAATGCATGCATGCATGCATGCATTCATACATACATACATACAAAAATACATACATGTATACATGCATACATGCATACATGCATACATGAATGCATGCATACATGCATACATGCATACATGCATACATGCATACATGCATACATGCATACATGCATACATGCATGCATATACATACATACATACATGCATGCATGCATACATACACACACAGACACACATACCTACATACATGCATGCATACATGCATGCATACATGCAGATGTACATTAATGCATACATACACACATACATGCATAGATACATGCATGTATACACTCAGTCATTCATTCATTCATAAATATAGGCATAACTACATACATACATACACTCATACATGCATACATGCTTACATGCATACACACACCTACATACATACATAAATATATACATACATGCATACATACAGATATGCAGACAGACAGACAGACAGACAGACGGACGGACAGACAGACACGCGTACCTACACACACATATACATACATGCGTGCATGCATACACACAAACATACGTATATACAGACATACGTGCATGCATACATACATGCAAACGTACATGCATGCATAAATACATTCAAACATACGTGCATATAGACATACAGACACACATACACACATACACACATTCATATATACATACAAACATACATGCATACCGGTATACACGTACGCACACACATATACATCTACATATACAACCACACGTGCACAAGCATATACAAATGCATATACACAGACATATGCAACGAATTACACACATACATATACACACATACATACATGTACAAATACACCTATATACATATATATATATATATACATACATATACATGAACATCTACATATACAAATAACTATGCATGTGCATGCACATTCAAAAATACAAATACATAGACACACGTGTATCCATATACATGCACATATACATTCACATACACACATGGATACACATTTGCATATGCGTATTCATTCACATTTGCATATGCCTGTAAATATACATAAACATAACGCATATCCACATACATACACATAAACATATACATACAATATGCATCAACATATATATCGTACGCACTTATCCGAGGGAGTAGAGATCCGCAGCGATTAATTGTGAAATCGCGTTTCTTGTGTCTGGCTGTTTCGCTCGGGAAATCCTCAGCATTCTAAAAAAAAACTGGCGCACCCCTCACTCAGATCGCGACGTAAACGGAATTCCAGAATGTGGAAACATGTGTTTCGAACTTACCCAATGCGCCTGGGAAATATGCAACAATCCAGCCCTTTTCTTTTTTCAACACGACTATTGGAAAAGAGCTCCGCCAGAGACATCCTCCCAAAATCGAGCCCCGACGCACAACACACACGCACACACAAAACAGACAGAACGCACACACACACACACACCACACACACACAGAACACACTCACACACACAGGAAACACTTACACACACGAACACCCGCACACCTAACACATGCACAAGATACAACACACCCAACACAAGCAGCACACACACAACGCAAACACACAATTCACCAAACACACACATTACACACAAAACACACAGTCTACACCGAACTCACACATGACCACAAGCACATCACACGCATATAGCACACAACATACGTAACACACACACACACACACAAACAAACAAACACACAAACACACACACACACACACTGATTACCCAAAACACAGAAAGGGCGCGCCGCTGGATCTCCCCAACGGGGGGTGGGGGGGGGAACCCGCCCCCCCTTCCCCGATCCGTCGTCGGGGACCACCACTCCCCTTTCCCGATCCGTCGTCGGACCCCCCCCTCCCCCCTTTCCCGATCCGTCGTCGGGCACCCCCCCATCCCCCCTCTCCCCCCCTTTGGCAGCTAAATTCGAGCCCCCCCATTTCGCCACGGCGCCCCCGGAATCCAGAACCCGACCCCTGCCACCCCCTTAACACTAATCCTCACCCTTACACTAACCCCTAACCCTAACCCCAAACCGTAACCCTAGCCCCGAACAGTACTCACTACTCATTACGCAGTACTCACTACCCACTACTCACTACTCGCTACTCACTACTCACATCTCACTATTCACTACCCACTACTCACGACTCACTACTTACTGCCCACTAATCCCGACCCACTACCCACTACTCACTATTCCCTACTCCCTACTCCCTACTCACTATTCACTACTAAAGACTCACTACTCACTACCCACTACTCAATACTCACTACTCACTAAACACACCTCACTGCCCACTACTAACTACACACGATTCACGACTCACGACCCACTGACCACTATCCACTACTCACTACTCACTACTCACACTTCACTGCTCACTACTCACTGCCCACAACTCACTACTCATTATCCACTACTCGCTACTCGCTACTCCCTACTCCCTACACAGTAATCACTACTCACTACTCACCACTCGCTACACCCTGTTCGCTACCCAATACGCACTATTCACTACCCACTACTCACTACTCACAACTCACTACTCCCTACTCACTAGTCACTAGTCGCTCGACACTACTCGCTAATCTCTACTCTCTACTCAGTACTCACTACTCACTACTCACGAATCACCACTCAGTATTCACTACTCTCTACTCGCTTCTCACTACTCACTACCCACTACTAGCTATCCAACCCTCCTTTCTAACTACTCACAACTCACTACTCAGTACTCCATACTAACTACTCACTACCACTATTCACTACTCGCTAACCCCTACTCGCTACTCACTACTCACGACTCACTACTTTCTACTGACTGCTCCCTCCTCACTACTCACTACTCACAATGCCCTAGTTGCTACTCACTGCTCACTACTCGCTACTCACTACTCGCTACTCACTACTCACTACCCACTACCCACTGCACACTATTCATTACGCACCACGCACTACTCACTACGCACAACTCACCACTCACTACGCACAACTCACCACTCACTACTCACTACTCACTATTCCCTACGCATTACCCACTACTACCTAACCTCTAGTCACTACGCACTAGTCACTACTCGACTCACTACTCACTACTCACTACTCATTATGCACTACCCACTACCGACTACACACTACTCAGTACTTACCACCCACTACTCACTACCCACTACTCACTACTCACTACTCCCTACTCCCTACTCCCTACTCAGTACTCACTACTCACTACTCACTACTCACTACTCATTACTCGATACTCACTACTCACTAATCAGTACTCACCACCCACTCTTCACTACTTTGCAATCCAGTACCCAACACTCACTATTCACGACCCACTACTCCCAACTCCCTACTCCCGATGCCTTACTCGCTACTCACTACCCACTACTCACTATTCACTAGCAGCTCTTCACCACGCACTACTCACTACTCACTACTAACTACTTACTACACACTATTCCCTACTCCGTACTCCTTACCACCTTCTCCGGCGCAGAAAAGACGAGGGGGAGATGCCCCGTCCCCCCCTCCCCGGCCCCCTGTTCGGCGCAAAGGGGGGGAGGGTCCGACCCTCCCCCCCCTTCCAGCGCCAAGGGAGGGAGGGGGGGGGGGGCCGGACACCCTCCCCCCTCTTCAAGGGGGGAGGGGGTCGGATCCCCCCTCAAGGGGGGGAGGGGGAGAGGGTCGAAAATCTCATCCCCCCTTCAAAAGGGGAGAGGGGGGAGGGTCTGCGAGCACACCCCCCCTTTTCAATTACAGGGTGATCCTGTGGCGCGTTTTCCAAAACACACACACACACACAAACACACACACACATTCTACACATCTGTTTGTATGGGCCTGGGCACACACGTACAACTTGTATATGTATAGATATATACACATATGTGTCTGTATTTCTTTTCTTTCGGGCGATTTCACAGCCCCTGGTGACTCTGATCTACTTTGGCTTCCGTTCACCTACGTTGCACTAGCTACCGCCCGTTTTGTATACATATATGTATACAAAACGGGCACACATATGTGTACATACACATATAAATATACACACACACGTGTCGCCCGACATATATATATATATAATAAAAAATGTGGAACTACACACACTTATATATATATATATATATATATATATATATATATATCGGAGGTGAGGGGGTGAGATCGAAGTGGAACGGAGAGCCCCCCTACTGGGAAATCGATTTCGGTTTCGTGTTCGTGCGTGCCGTGCGGGCGAGGCGAAGCTGCGTGGGCGGGCGAGAGAAAGTCTCCTGTGGCTGAGGCGCGGCCGGACCAAATGTCTCCCTTCCGGGCGGCCGGGGGCCCGCGGTGTCCCGCCGGTGTCCCGCTGGTGTCCCGTGTGGCTGAGGCGCGGCCCGACCAAATGTCTCCCTTCCGGGCGGCCGGGGGCCCGCGGTGTCCCGCCGGTGTCCCGTCGGTGTCCCGTCGGTGATGATGATGATAATGACGATGATGACGATGATGATGTTGACAACGATGATGATGATGGTGATGATGATGGTGGTGATGATGGTGAGTTCGGTAGTGAGATCGATAGTGAGACCGAATGTGAGATCGATTGTGAGATCGATTGTGAAATCGATAGTGAAGTCGATAGTGAGACCCAATGTGAGATCGATAGTGAGATCGATAGTGAGTTCGATAGTGAGATCGATAGTGAGACCGAATGTGAGATCGATTGTGATATTGATTGTGATATCGATAGTGAGATCGATAGTGAGATCGAACGAGAGGTCGATCATGACTTCGATAGTGAGTTCGATAGTGAGATCGATAGTAAGATCGATTGTGAGCCCGATTGTGAGATCGATTGTGATATCGATAGTGAGATCGATAGTGAGACCGAATGTGAGATCGATTGTGAGATCGATTGTGAGATCGATCGAATGAGATCGATAGTGATATCGGTAGTGAGATCGATCGTGAGACCGAATGTGAGATCGATCGTGAGATCGATAGCCAGATCGATTGTGAGATCTATTGTGAGATCGATTGTGATATCGATAGTGAGGTCGTTAGTGAGATCGAGTGTGAGATCGATAGCCAGATCGATTGTGAGATTGATCGAATGAGATCGATAATGAGATCGATAGCGAGATCGATAGTGAGATCGATCGAGTGCGACGGTGGTCCCCCACCTTCGCCTTCTTATCACCCGAAGGGTGGTCTTTGCGGTATACATATATATACATATATATATATATGTATACATCCTTCGCCAGACAACGCTCTCCCAGGACTGCACATTTTTCTGTGTGAGGCGCAGATCTGGCTGCAGTTACCGATGCCACGAGAGGCTGAGCATACTGGCACGAGATGCATCAGCAGGACTGGCAGGCACAGCCAGGTGGTTCAAAGAGGAAAAGAAAACAGGGGAGGGAGGGAGGGAGCGACTTCAGCATAAGTATGGCACCGTGCGCAGGAGACATCAGTTCGGGTCCCTTGTCCCGTTCGGGAGAGAGCGGGACTGATACCAGGACGACCGTTCGCAGAACTACAATCCTTCGCCAGACAACGCTCTCCCAGGACTGCACATTTGTTCTGTGTGGGGCGCAGATCTGGCTGCAGTTACCGAGGACACAAGCGGCCGACGCCTTCGCGTCGTGGAAAAATCGCGACGGGCGACCGCTAGCCATTTTCGGCCTCCAGGGGCACTCCCTGGGCCGAAAAGCTGGTCTCTGCATTGGCAGGGCCCCCAGATCTCCAGGGAGCCACGTGACGCAAAAAAGGCACGAAGGCGCACCTCTGGGACCGGAAACTCGTGGCGCCCAAAACCTGGGTCGCGAGGCGGCAGAAGCTTCCGGGAGGTCCCTCGCGAAGGAGCTCGGGAGCCTCTGTAGAGGAGCTGCTGGAGAGCTTCACGGCACACGCAATTGGGGAACAGGCACGACGTCCCGTGCCTGGGACCGTACACCTGCACCTCTGGAGCATCGTGGAAACAGGCCTCGGAAGAAATCAACGACCACTCATGCCACATTCATGTCTCAATGCCGCGCCCCCCATGACCGATAGGCGGTGGTTTGTTTGAGTTGAGTTGAATTTTGGGGGGCAGGGGAGTGTCCACTGATTGTTTCCCTCTACCAACTGATCCCGATCCCCACTGGCATCGCCTTGGCCGCACTGGCCGAGTGGTCGCCCTACGTCATGGGGTGTACGCTGTTTCCTTCGGGTTCCGCGGGGCCGATCCCGCCTGGTGGGGCTGGGCAGGTGTGTCTAAGATACCATGGCCCAGTGGGGATGGGGTGCGGTTAATCGATTCGATGATCCTCAGAACGTGTGTTGGCCCCAACGTGTGTTGTCCACCGAGGCCCTTCGATACGACGCAGGCGACGTACTGATCTACTGGCTGGGCTGAAGGGGGCAGACACACATTGGGCTAACACACGTCCTGAGGATAGTCGATGAACGATGCTGCCTTACACCGGTCCTGGGACCAGGATCGGCCAGGCGGGCCTGAGCTGGACCGAATCGGGAAACCGAATCGGATCGGAAACGGATCGGATCGCCAGCGGATCGCCCCGAGCCAAAGCAAAACTGGATCGCCGCGCCTGGACCCCAGGCTACCCCGACCGATGCTCGTGAATGGGACCGAAACGAATTGAATCGGAATCGCGGCCGCAGTCCCAGGCATGCGATGTCTTTTGGAAGCTGGGCGAAGGCTGGCAAATCCGTGGCTGCTAAAACGGTCTTCCCAGAAGGAAGACACACAAAAAAAAAATCCCGTAATCAAACTCAGCGCACCAACTGATAAACGGGCTGTTTCCCGGAAGGAAAAAAAATATCCCAGTGCGACCCTACATAGGAGTTGGAGCCCCTAAGAAAGCAACATTAGTAGCAACAGTAAAGCTAAGCTAAAGCTAAAGCTAAAGCTAAAACTAAGCTGAAGCTAAGCTAAAGCTAAGCTAAAGCTAAGCTAACGCTAAGCTAAAGCTAAGCTAAAGCTAAGCTAAAGCTAAGCTAAAGCTAAGCTACATCTAAGCTACAGCTAAGCTAAAGCTAAGCTAAAGCTGAGCTAAAGCTAAGCTAAAGCTAAGCTAAAGGCTAAGCTAAAAGCTAAGCGAAAAGCTAAGCGAAACGCTAAGCTAAAGCTAAGCTACAGCTAAGCTAAAGCTAAGCTAAAGCTAAAGCTAAAGCTAAAGCTAAGCTGAGCTAAAGCTGGGCGATAGCTAAGCTAAAGGCTAAGCTGAAAGCTGAGGCTAAAGCTAGGCTAAAAGCTAAGCTAAAAGCTAAGGCTAAAGCTAAGCTAAAGCTAGCTGAAGCTAAAGCTAAGCTAAAGCTGAAATCTGAAACTAAAAAACGAAAAAAAAAACAAAAAAAAAAAAAAGAAACGAACCGAAAAAAAAAAAAAAAAAAAAAAAAAAAAAAAAAGAAAAAATATCAAAAAAAAAAAACTAAAAAAAAAAAATAGCAAAAAAAAAAAAAAAAAAACAAAAAAAAAAAAAAAACATAAAAAAAAAAAAAGAAAAAAAAAAAGGCATAAGCAAAGCTAAAGCTACACTAACCGCTAAGCTAAAGTTAACTAAAGCTAAAGCGAAGCTAAGCTAAAGCTAAATATAAAGCTAAATATAAAGATAAATATAAAGCTAAAGCTAAAGCTAAAGCTAAGCTAAACTAGGCTAGGCAAAGCTAAGCTAAGCGAAGCTAAGATGAGATAAGCTAAGCTAAGCTAAGCTAAGCGAGAGCTAAGCTAAGCTAATATGAGATCAGATAAGCTAAGCTAAGATGATGTAAGCTAAGCTAAGCCAAGCTAAGCGAAGCTAAGCTAGGCTAAGTTAAGCTAAGCTAAGCTAAGATGAGATAAGCTAAGCTAAGCTAAGATGATATGAGCTAAGCTAAGCTTAGCTCAGCTTAGCTAAGCTAAGCTGGGTGAACCCAGGGGGGCGCAACTGGGGGAACCGCGGGGCGGGGACTGGGGGAACCGCCCGGGGCGCTTTCCACTGCCCGGCCCCATTAAGCTAGAGAGTAAGAACCCTTCTAGGCAGAGCCTAGGTAGGGAACAATCTCCCGGGGTTCCATCTTAGCAGCCACGGATTTGCCAGCCGTCACCTGGCTTCAGAGTCTTGATTTTTCCATTCCGGGGACCCCGGAAGTCCCGACCCTTTTCGGGGAGACGTAAGACTCGGGTACGGGGGACTCGGGTTGGCCTGACAGGGCCATCATAAAAATGACGAGACCCAATCAGAAATTTGACGCGAACTCCCGCTGCAAAAATCCCACGAAAACTGGACCGTCAAAATCCAGGACGCGCTCGTCAAAAAACGTCGGCAAACCCGAGTTCCAGCTTACCCGAGTCTTACGTTTCCCCGACCTTTCCCCAGGGCCAGTCTTCGTCTCGACTCTCCCAGGGCCTGCCGAGGGCCCCGGTAGGCCAAGAATTGCCGAAGACATGCTGCCGTGACTTTCTGCACGACTCGAGCACCTCTGCGGCCCCGGCTGGCGAATCGAATCGCAGCGGAAGCGAATACGCAGTGCTCCCTGACTCTCCACCTTCAACGCCGTTCGACCAGCAGGTAAATGGTCGCAGCCACGCAGAGGGCGTGCGTAGCGACGCCCCGAATGCTCGGTCTCCAGTACTTCTACGTGGCGGCGCCCCCGCAGGCACGCAGAGGGCACGCGTGGCGACGGGGGCGTCGCCACGCAGAGCTTCTAAAGACCAAACATTTTGAAAACCAATTGTTTCCATTACTAAAGTAGTGATCTCCGAGGGAGGGGAAGCCGCATAAACATAAACGTTCCAAGCTCCGAGCGGATTTCTTGGATCGACGCTGGCCCCGTAACGGGGTCTCCAGCGCCGCCCCTGACGCACTCCGCGCGCTAGGGAGGGGGGGGGGTCCAGCGCATACTCAAGCCTCGAGGAGATCCCGAAAGTCGGCCACCTGCTGATCGGAAGGTGTGGATCAGCGTCGAGCGAGGGGGGGGAGTGAGAAGGAGAAGGCCCTGCCAGAAGGTTCGGAAGTGCCCCGGCCTCCTGAGAAGTTTTCTGAGCCCTCTGCGGAGACACAGAAAACCTCCCAGAAGGCGCGAGGGCCACTGAGAAGTCCCGCCGCCTTCTGAGATGGCACTCTCCTTCTCATTCCCCCCCATCGCTCGCCGCCGAAAGACGTTCCACTACTCGCAGTGTAACCACTCGCAGAAGGCCTGGATGTGCTGCGGGGGATTTCCTATCCATGACACATCGAGACGACCATGCGGTTTTCGGGCGTTTGTGAGTATGCACTTTGCGAGTAGTGGAACGCGCTCGGTGAAAGGTGTGGAAGATGGTGAGCATAGGTTCAAGTAGGGAGATCGACTACAAAACTGACTCACCCCAAACTGGATTTGCCCGTCGAACCTGCGAACAACTACGCAGACAGCTCGCAGATGTGCGGAACGGGCTTCGCATGTCCCCTGGAAAGAAAAAAAAAACTGGGGCAAGCAACCTCTGCAGCCGATCCCCCTACTCGAGGGCGTCAGCTCCTGCAGCGCCGCGCTCAGCTCCCCGACCTCGCTCGGGTGGAGGGCCACGAGCGGGTCCCCGGGCCGCTGCAGCCGCGAGGCCCAGAGCTCCAGGCTGGGCGGCAGGCACCCCGGGCCGTGCACGGCCTGGAACGCCTCCTCTGCCGGGCGAGGGCTCGCCGACGCCGCCCCGGACCCACCCCCCCCCGAGGCATGAAAGACTCCCAGGGGGCGAGCGAGGGGGGGGAATAGTGCGAGGCGGCGGAGCGGCCTTCTCAGAGGGCGGCGGGGCTCCTCAGAAGCCCTCGCGCCCTCTGCGGCTTCGGGGAAGGCTCGGAAAACGTCTCTCGGGAGGCCGTGGGACTTCAAAGCCTTCTGAGAAGGCCCGCCCCTTCTCACTTCCCCCCCCTCGCTCACCGCCGAAGATCACAGTGGGAGGTCGTTCTTAACTTTCGGCCTCGTGGGGCCCCTCGCGAGGCCCCGGAACCGTCAAAAAACTAGTCAAGATGAGGAGCTGGTCCCCGGGAATGGGTCGAGACCTCTGGGGGTCGACGCTATGAAAAATCATGACGTCCGGGGTCTGGGGTCGACACAGCGGCGCCACCTCCCCCTCCCACGGCGTGTTCTGTCCCCCTGTGGGGGGGCCTCCTGAGGGTCCTCGTCACCACGACTGGATCCGCCTGATAAAACCAGGTCGGGATGGAACCCAGGAGAGCTCTGGAGGCCGATTTTGACCAGCTGTCGGCCAGGCGGGAGGCCCAAACATCCTCCGATGCCTTGCTCGATGCGCTGGGGAAACCAAAAGGTACCGATACCGCGCTACTCCCCGAACCTCTCCCGGGGTGCGTTCTGGCAAGAATTTCGAGGCGAATCCAGCGGTGGCAACGAGGGCCGCCCAGGAGACCCAAAAAGGGGAAAACGGCCAGGGGGGTAGAGGCATAGGTACCTTCTCCTCCTCTGACGGGAGGCCCAAACATCCTCCGATAGCTCGCTCGATGCTCGGGAGCGGCCAAGAGGGGGTGTCCAAGAGGGGGGGGGTGCAAATCATGACCGGCTGCATGTGCGCGGCCCAGCGGGGGGGCCAGGGACGTAATGAAATAAGAAGGGGCGCCATGAAATCTGGGAAAAAATCATAGCCCCCGCCATGATATCCCCCCCTAGTCATCACCCCTCTCTTTTCCGCCCCCGAGATGCGCGGCCCCCGCAGGAAGGTCCCGAGCCCTCCCCGGGGGCCGCTTCCCATCCCGGGAACCAGCTCTGCCGGCCCGGGGGGGGGGCCGCATAGGGGCCCCAGAGACCGAGGATCGACGAAACACTGCTGGGCCTGGTTTTTCCACCACCACCACCACCACCATAAGTTGGAGGGGGGGAGGAGGAGGAGGAGGAGGAGGAGGAGGAGGAGGAGGGAGGAGGGAGGAGGAGGAAGGAGAGGAGGAGGAGGAGAAGGAGGAGGAGGAGGAGGAGGAGGAGGAGGAGGACCCCTTCCCCCTCCAAGGTTGTGGTGGTGGTGGAAAACAGGCCCATCAAACACGCCCAGGCTGAGAGGATCGTGCCGTCGGAGATCTGGGGGGGAGCCAGCGTGGCGCCGACAGGTCGGCTGCGCGCAGGAGGAGGTGGCCCCGCAAGAGGGACCTCCAGTGCGCGGCCCCCAGGGCCGTATGGGGAGGCCAATATCCAGGGTTAGGTCGGGCATGTCCCCGTACAGGCGGATCTTGGACGAACAAAAAAAAAACTAAAAAGTAGACAAAAAATAACCAAGAATACAAACAAACAAACAAAAAACCTCCCCTGACTAGTTTTTGACTATTTTTGAATACTCCCCTTACTATTTTTGACTAGTTCTGACTATTTCTGACTACTTGGGGATATCTTTGACTATTAAGAAAAAACGTCCCCTGACTTGTTTGACTATTTTTGAATATTCCTCCTGCAGAGGGACAGGCCCGATCTAAATCCAGGGAGGGGTGCAGGCCGGTGCTGGGGGGAGCCCTTGGGGCCCGGACCAGGGGCCACTCCAGCGAAGGTCGGCGGCGAGCGAGGGGGGGGAGTGACCCTGACCTGAAGTCGGGCGTGTCCCCCTACAAGGGGATTTTCGACGAAAAATTAAAAATACTCCATAAATATTCAAAAGATGCCCAAAAATACTCAAAAATAGTCCCCTGACTATTTTTCTACGATTTTTGAGCATTCACCCTGCAGAGGGACAGGCCCGACTTAACCCTGACCCTCCAGAGGGCTAAAAAATAGCCCCCCCGGCCTACGGACCTATCTGAGTTGCTTCAAGTTTCGACAGGAATTTCGACGCCAAGGTCCTGGTGCTATTTTTTAGCCCTCGTGGAAGGCCAGGGTGAGAAGGGGCGGGCCTCCTCAGAAGGCTCGGAAGCCCCCCAGCCTCCTGAGAAAGCTTCTGAGCCGTCCCCGAAGGCACACAAAAAAAAAGCCCCTGGGAAGGCGCGGGGGCTTCTGAGGAGCCCCGCCGCCGTCCGAGCCCAGACCCCCGACGTCGTGACTTCTGTCGCAACGTCGACCCCCCCGAGGTCTGGACCCCTTCCCCAGGACCGGTTTTTCGTCCTGAGTTCGGGAGCGGCCAAGAGGGGGGTGTCCAAGAGGGGGGGGGTGCAAATCATGACCGGCGGCATGTGCGCGGCCCAGCGGGGGGGCCGGGGACGTAATGAAATAAGAAGAGGCGCCGTGAAATCTGGGGAGATTTCATGGCCCACGTCATGATATCCACCCCCCCCTAGTCATCACCCCCCTCTTTTCCGCCCCCGAGGTCTGGACCCCTTCCCCAGGACCGGTTTTTCGTCCTGGGTCGTTGTTTGACGGTCCCTGGGCCTCGGAAGGGCCCCCGGGGCAAACCTCCCGTCGTGATTCTCGTCACAACGCGGCGGGGTCCGGGGAGAAGCCCCGCCGCCCTCCGAGGGGGCCTTCTCCTTCTCACTTCCCCCCTCGCTCGCCGCCGAGAAGGGCCACCCTTCCGCCTAGCCTTGAAGATGCCACGACAATTCACACCCTAATAGTCTTTTCATTGAATTTAAATGTGTTTAAAATGTAGGAAAAAGTTTCAAAACATGCTTTAAACATGTTTAAAACATGTTTAAAACATGCTTCAGACATGTTTTAGACATCTGGAAATGATTTGGCAACATGCTTCCTCTCCATTGATCGTCCTCCACAATCGGCCACACGCAAGAGGGACCCTGGGCAAGAGTGACCTTTGGTGCGCGGCTCTTGGGAGGCCACGGGGGGACCAAACACAGGCGCGCAAGCCGCTACTATCGCCTCGCGTTCGGCGATCGGGGGACCCCATTGGGCCCGCACCAAAGGTCACTCTGGCGAAAGGTCACTCTTACGTGTAAACGACACAGGCCTAGCCAGCCTCCGTCCGGCCTCCCCCGATCCTGGATGCGGCACAGCAGCTCCTGCAGCTCCCCCAGGGCCATGTCGTCCAGGAGCCTGCGCGCCTCGGCCTGCTGCTCGAGGCGGAGCAGCAGCTCCACGCGCGGGTCGCCCTCGGCCAGCAGCGCGAAGTCCACCGACTTCACGGCCCCGGACGCGCGCGCTCGGCGGAGGTAGTCCTGGAGGGCCCCCCCCCCAAAAAAAGGACTCGGCCCGGAGATCCCCACAAGTGCATGCAGTCTCCTGGCGCTCTCCGCTGCGGGCGTCTGGGCACAAGAGAGTCTGGGTATGAGTGGGCCGAGTACGAGGGTCTCCGTACGGGTGAGCCCGAGTGCGAGCGAGTCTCAGCTTGAGTGAGTCTATAGGTCTGAATATGACTATGCCTAGTGTAGGTGTATATGAGCCCGAGTGGTCTGAATATGAGTGCGATTGACTCTGAGTACAAATAGTCCGAGAGGGAGCAAGCGTAAGGACAGAGGAGAGAAAGCGGCAAAAGGACAGCTCTTTCCTTCTCCTACTGCGTCCTCGTTTGTACTAAGCCGTCCTTTCTCCTCCTCCTCCACCTCCTCCTTCCTGGCGGCCATCCTTCCCCCTCACACCTGCGCCCTCCTCCTCCTCCTCCTCCTCCTCCCTCCTCCGTCCTCCGTCCTCCGTCCTCCGCCTGGCAAGTGTCCCCCTCCCTGGCGGCTCCTCCTTGGGGTGCCCACATGCACGATACGATTGCTTCATCGCGGCGCCCATGACGCTCGCAATAGAGAGAGAGGCCCGAGCCACCAAACAAGCAGAGCGCCCGAGACATCTCCCCACGCCGGCCGCGAACGGCGAAGTGACATGTACCCTGATGGCTCCCCCCGTTGGAGGTGCTGAAACCTGCACCTCGCCGGAGGCATCCTCACCATCTGCTGCGAGAGCAGAGCACGCTGGGCACCCGGACGCGCGCGATCCGCCAGACACACCCCCACCATCCGAGCGCGAACGGGCCCGTAAGCTAAGCTCTAGCAGGCTCCCTCTCAAGCGCTGAAAAACCGGCGCCTCGCTCGAGACATCCTCGGACTCTGCTCTGAACGCAGACGCGTCTGGCCACCAAGGCAAGCAAACCGCCCGAGGCATCCTCGCAAGCTGAGCCCCTGGCGGGGCTCAAAAAACACGCCTCGCCCGAGACATCCTCAGAAATCTGCTCTGAACGCGGACGAGTCTGGCCACCAAAATGAACCCGGCGCGACCCCAATCAGGGGAAAACTTCCTATTGCATGGGCGCAGTGCTTGGCATTGCGTGGCATTGTTTGGCATTGCTTGGCTCTTGTCATGTCTTAGCATTGCTCAGAACGGGCACAATAAGAATACGAAGCACCCGCGGGGGAGAACCAAGGGACAGCGGGGAACCCGAGGACCCCGGAGAACCTGGGGAACCCGGGAAACCCAAAGAACCCAGGGACTCCGGGGAACCTGGAGAGCCGAGAACCCGGGAAACCCGGGAAACACAAAGAACCAAGGGAACCATGGGGAACCATGGGGAACCCGAGGAGACCGGGAAACCTGGGGAACCTCCGAGCAACGGGCAAAGCAACCCCCCGAGGCACCAACTTTAACCAAGTAAGAACTCATTAGGCAAGCCTAATTGGGGAATAATAAGAATAATAATCCTCATCATCAGCAGCAGCATCATCATTATCATCATCACCAGAATCGTCATCATCATCATCATCATCATCATCATCATCATCATCATCATCATCATCATCATCATCATCATCATCACCATCATCATCATCGTCGTCGTCGTCGTCATCCTCTCATGTATAATCAGCATCATCATCATAATCTGCATCATCAGCATCATCATCATATCATTCAAAACCTGGGTAGTGACCCTGAGAATGACTCTGAGTGACACTGGTTAGTGAGGAAGTGGAGGAGGAGAAGGAGGGAGGTGTGAGGAGTCGGCGCGGTTGGAGTAACAACAAGAACCCCATCATCAGGAGATGGGGGAAAAAAAACGCTACCCCTGCAAAGCACCCTGCACTCAGAATCCAGAGCAAGGATGCTTAAGATAAGGATGCGAGACCCTCGAAGTCCCATTGACCGTTTAGAGCTGCTTGGACGTCGACATTGGCTCAGGATGGGCCACAGAAGCAGGGATGCCAGGGTTGCCTTGCTGAAGCAGCGAATCCATAATATGGAGTATGACTAAAACAGCATAGAGAAAACGTGTATTCCTGCGCATTCCTAAGGACTTGTAGGCGTGACAGGGGTGAGAGCACGGCCATGTGCATCGCAGTGTGTCTTGCAAAGAAGCGTGGCCGTGTAGCAGGGGTCAGAGCACGGCCACGTGCACCGTGGTGCGTGATAAGGAGAATAGAGGCCGTGTGACGAGGGTAAGATCACGGCCGGGTGCTGTGCGCCGCAGTGCTGTGTACAAGGCACCGTGGCCGCGTGACAGGGGGGAGAGCACGGCTATGTGCACCGAAAAAGGTATTCTGAACAAGGGACCATCTCCGTGCGCCCCCTCTGGTGAGGATCCTAATTATGGCTCTACCGCACGTTCGCGACCTGGGAAGGCCAGAATGTGAGGATCGTAGATGCTGACAAAGGAAAACAATTGCCAGACCAGGGCGGGCACCCTCTCCCCGTCCCCCCTTTGATGGGAACCCGACGGCCCTTCCACACGCTCGCGGCCTGGAAGGCTGGATTGGTGAGAACAATGCGTTTTTGTTACCAAGAGCAACTGCTGTTAAACCGGGGCGGGCGCCCTCTCTCCGTCCCTTCTGCGAGGCCCTGCGCGAACCTGTGACCTTCGTTAGAACCCTCAGAATCCGATGGCCTTGCCACATGGTCGTGACAGGAAAAAGCAGGAAAGGTGAGAATTTCAAATTGCTTCCCAAAGACAAACGGTGCAGGAACCCTCTCCCCGTCTCCCTTGCGATGAGAACCCGATGGCTTTGCCACACGGTCGTGACCGGGAAGGCTGGAATGGTGAAAAAATGTACTTTGCACAGACAGCAGTAGCTCACACATCAGTTACAAGGAAATGGGCCTCCCAGGTGCCTGCCGAGCTGGCTTGTGGTCGTCCCGTCGCCGCACCGTCGCCGCACCGTCGCCGCCCGTCGCCGCCCGTCGCCGCCGCCCCTGTGGCCCTGAGTGTTGGTCAGGCCGGCTTGTGGCTGCCCGTCTCCGCCCCGTCTCTGCACCGTCGCAGCACCGTCGCCTCGCCGCCCGTCGCCGCCCGTCGCCGCCGTCCGCTTTGCCCACCGGGCCGCCGGTCTGGCCAATTTGTGGCCGCCCGTCGCCGCAGCGTCTTGGTTGTAATTTTGACGGTGCGAACAGCCTCATCCCCCCCCCCCCCGGGAATTATCGGCACCTCCTGGGATAATACAAATCTGCCCCATCCCTCATTCTGCATACGAATCCATGGCATCCCAACAAGTACCACCATCGCCCCCGCACTCCTGCCAAATAGTACATTGCGCGCACTCGCTCATCACAAGACATCACGGCTCAATCATCCCTTGCCGAAAATTGAACAGTTATAACACGCGGGCGTCGTCGCGCGCGCATGTCGGAATCCTTCCAAGACATACAGACTTCGAAAGATTTCAAAGACTGACTTCTTGAAATATGTACAAACCAAACGTTGTCCAACGACCTCCCCCCAAAGATTAATGGGCGCACGCTTTTGCGAAATCTTCCGAGAAAAACCATCGATTGTTCAGCCAATTCGTCACATCGGACTCTCGCGCGCGCGCATGTCGAAGTCATTCGAATGCGTTTGCGCGAATGTTTGGCGGCACGATTTTTCCCAAATAGTACCATGCGGACCACGCGCGCGCGCGTCGGCAGCGCGCGCATGCAGAAATCCGCACAAAACCTTCATCAACGACGCATGGGCATCATCATCGTCGTCGGCGTTACCAGCATCGGCGCCGTCATTGGCCTTGCCGTCGTCATCGTCATCATCGCCACCACCATCGTTACTATCAACATCGTTTCTGGTGTTTGTTGTTCTTGTCAACGTCACCATGATACCGCGCCTGCCCGAGCCACCGACCGGCATTGGAGCGCCCGCGCGCCAGCGCGGCCTTTGCAACGCGGTGGGAAGCTCCACTCGGTAAGCGCTCTCGCGGCCACATCGGCTGCGCCAAAGCGGCTGGCCGCTGTGCGTGCGAACTTGCGCACGCCAGCGCGGCTGCGGACATGCGCCAGCCATGGCCAAGAAATCATGGCAACCGCTGCCGAATGGGCGTTGCAAACCGAATTGCGGGTGGGAGGGTGGGATGATTGCGAAGATTATGCTAAGCGGATTGCACCAGGTAGGTTACACCACCTAGCTTACACCGCATAGAATGGACCACAATGATTGCACCACACAGATTGCATCACGTAGTTCACACCGCATATGTTCCCCTGTCTTTTGAAAATTGATATACCCCCACCCCCTTCTGGACTTAAAGGATCCCTTTTTTCGCATTCCAAATTACATTCGACTCTGCCAAATCGTCCATACTTTATACAACCTCATATGATCGCAGCCAGACCAGTAACGGTTCTCCCCCCCCCACATCCTCTGCAACAAATACTGCGCGCACACTCGTTTATCAAAAATTATCCCTTGCAGAAATACGGGACGAATTACACACGCGCGCGTCGTGGCGCGCGCATGCCGAAATCCGTCAAAACATGAACAACCGTAACGATTAAGAAACCCAGTGCCCCGAACACGTATGGAAACACATGGTTCTGCAACATGAGATTTGAATCCCCCCTGAAAAAAGCTTCGCTCGCGCTCGTGCGAATTCTCCAGAAACAATAGGCTGTCAGAATTCCCACTAATTTCGGCCAAGCAGGTGTTTTTTCGCGCCGCGTGTCAACATCATTCGACCGCCCTTGCGCGCGTGCTGGGGGGCACGATCCGTGTCAAATAAAAGCGTGCCACTTTCGCGCGTCGGCCGCACGCGCACGTCGAACTCCTCCCCAAGCCTTCATCACCGACGCGAGGGCGCCGTCATCGTCGTCGGTGTGATCAGCACCGGCGCCGTCACTGGCCGTGCCGTCGCAGATGTCATCATCTTCGCCAGCGTCGCTACCATCATCATCGTGTCCACCGTCGTTTACGTTGCCATGATACTGCGCCCGCCCAAATCGCCGATTCGCACTGAAGTGCCCGCTGGGAAATGCCCAGCGG